AAACATGCATGCATTATTTGTTTAATAGAAGAAAATATATACAGGGTAAAGAAGTGCCTTCCAGGGGAAACGTTTAAATTAGGTAATTCTAATTTAACTTCTTAGTTAAATTTTTGAAATGCAATTTTAAAAAATAACCCTTTGTAGTCAAATATCAGGCAGGAATGAGTTCTCCAGCATGGGTAACAGTTGACTTCATGATGTTCCCTTTAGGTTTTTTTGTGTGTTTCTAGCTCTGCTGATCCTGGAGCATGAGTGAGGGACCTCCAGAGTTGGAACTGGTGGTCTCTGCCACCCCTCCCCCACACCACCCCTGGATTTGTACAATGTACTGATCCTTGTTCTTTGGTAGTGAGCTGTATAAGGTGGGGCAAAGGTAGGTTTACAGTTATGAGTACATGAAACACGGTTTATTCTCCTGCGTTATTTTCTAATATTTTCCATATGAACAACTAAATCTTTTGCCCCACCTTATATAGTAGGGTGTTGTCAGTTTTCCTAAAGAATGTCAGCAGGATGGTTATAAAACCAAACACTTAAAATCCAAGCAAAGAATTGAACAGGGTACTTTGGGCACTTATGAGAACATTAATTTCTTTCCAGATGGCAATAGTGGAAAGCTATGACCACTTAGGTCTTAACTTTAAGATGTGCGTGTGATAGATTCATAAGAATGACTTCTAATTCTTTTGCTTGTTCCAGCTGAATGACAAGGGTTATTGCTAAAAATCTAGTGGCTTCCTTTCGAATAAGGTGGGACACACATGCAAGTGAACAGGATATCTAACTCAAAGTGGCCATAGCAGCAGGTGCTTTGTTCATTTTCTCATTTTCTGCTGTTAACACTTAGCTATTAAAATGACATAAGTGTAGGTTATAAAGTAGCTTTATTCTAGTTTCCCACTCCCGTTGCCTTTTGGGAGAATAAATTCAGATGTTATGTCATTTTCCTTTGTTGTTTTGTTTTCGCTGAATTGGAGTAGTCAGGTAATTGTAATGTTGTTACCCTTCGTTTGGATGGGTCAAGTATACTTCCAAGGAATACTCAATGGTAGCCAACCAATAGCAGTCTTTACCCTATTGGGGATGCCAAGGTTATTATTTCGGAAATGAAGAGCCTAAAAAACTTTTCCTCTCACCTGAAACACAATTTTATTAACCAATGTCACCCCAGTAAATTAATAAAAATTAAAATTTAAGGAAAACCTTCCTCTGGGAGTTGTCAAATCTACCACTCATGGGGGAAAGTGACTTAAGTTTCATTTCTAGAGGGATCCATTTTCTGAGACTTTAGGGACTATTGTCATTGTGAAATTGACCTTTTTATGGTTTTTATTTATCTTGCAAGAAGAAAATTATTTCCATTTATAGTAGACAGTTTCCAGCATTTGCTTTGCCCTGTTACTGCTTTGTAAAAAATGTTTTGCTGCATACATACTTAATGGTAATTTTGTATTCTGAATGAGATTAGGCAGAGTTGAGGTAAAAGTGATGTGAAAAGGATATTTCTATCCATGCCCGTGGATTCTTATATTAGGAGACCTTGAAAGGTCCTTGGGGTCCCAAAGAGAAAAACTTAGCTAGTCTTCACAGAGGTAGAAGGGAGTTTAGCGTTTGATTACATAGCCTAAGGTAGAGAAAAGATGAAAATAAACAATTAGACCATCCTATACCCATTTGGTGGTTTTGTGTCCTGTGGCCAGAGGTTTTCCTTTCCTGTACCCCTCACCCCCACTCCCTAAGCCAAATGAGGAAGTATGGGGGGGGGGGCAGGCCTCTTGTTCTGGGCAGTAAGGTACACACCCCAGGAGGGCTAATCAGTGCTTTAGAGGGCGGGCAAGTGGGGCAGAGGTAACAGAAACAAGGTTACAGGAGACACTTGTGCCAAGAAAAACCAGATAGGTAAGATGGCATAAAACTTCAGAAGTTTACTAAATCAGTGAAACTTATCTAGCATCGTAAACACATACGGTCCTTTTAAGGAATGTAGATACCCAACTCTAGACTTAGTAAAATCAGCTCCAGTATGGAGACTTGGTGTTTTAAATGCTGTGCAGGTTTACAAGAACCAGTTTTAAGTCTTCTTGACAGCATCCAGGTTTTTAAATAATACACACAAAAAAACTAGCATTTGGATGGTTATTCCTACTTCTATCACCTCTTTCAAAAAGTTTTTGTAAGATAATCCTGCCTTCTCAGAAGAGGAAGGTGAAGGAATTTTGTTGGACAGCTGAGTTTGGTTGTAGGTGGCATGTAAGTTTATGACAAAGCTTCAATCTATAAGAACTGAGTTCCTTGAGCAGTTTTTAGTGAGCCTTTGTCTTTATTTTAATCAATGCTCATCTTAGTTTCATGATCCTTTTCCTTGAGGTACTGATGTCCAAAGTAGTACTTTTTGGGTAGGGTTTTAATGTGTTGGCGACTCTGGCTTTGTGAGCTGAGAGTGGACTTGAAATTTTCCTTGTGTGTAGATGGTTTTCCCAGCTGGCTTTACAGATCTGCCTGTGGATTAAGGTTTAAAGTTAACTATATGCTTTTAGACTTGGCTAATGATTTTAAGTCTCCTTTCTTCTAGACAGGCTAAATTTGCATGTATTTCCAAATCAGCTAATGGCCAACAAAGGGGTTTAACTTTTTGAAGAATATCCCTGATGAGAAGAGTAGGTAGAGGCATTGTTTTAGGTACTAGCCTAGCTAAGTATTAGTATAGAAGGGAAAATCTTTGCATTCTGGTGTTTTCGCAGGGATTCCTGGTGTAAGAAATGATCACAAGATACCTGCATATAACCAGTTTCAGAGATTGAGAAGTCTTATAGTCTGACAGCTACTGTATCTTTGACACTAGATCTGTTAGAGTTTCATGGGGGAAATCCCCGTAAGGATTAGAACAATCTCTTCTCTCTCTCAGTAGTGAAAAGTATCTCAGCTTGAAAGGAGGCTCTTCTGTTGAATGAAGCAAGAGGCTTAAAAAGGGGAGGTGATCTTGACACTCTACTCCCTTCCTTTCTACTCAGATCCCTAGTCTGGCTGGTTTCCCTTAACTACAATAGCTTTGTTGGTAATCTTTTTTTATTATATTGAGCTCTCTCTTACAGAGCAAGTTGTACTTTATCTGGTTTCCATTAAAGGTTATAATTGTTCCATGATGTAATCTAACAGTGGGATAAACAAAGGTATTTAGGAACTTTTGGGTCCCTGTTAATATCTCTTCTCCTAGATTAGTTTTTGCCTGTGGTAGAAATAGTACTCACATTTTTGAAAACTACTTTGTTTGGAGTATCATCTTTGCCCAGAGAACCATTTCCCCTGTTCCGCCCCCGTTTTCATTTTTAAATCTCAACATGGTGGAAAGTTCCATATTTTATGTCACATCATACAATGTTTTATAAAGACTTTGAAATGTTGGCAAGTTTTTAAAGTTGTTTCTGGCCTAGAGACCAGATCTCATTTTACCAGCTGTTTCTTACTCTAATCTTCTTCAAATTTTATTTTGTCTTTTCTGTGTTGCATATCCTTTTTTTTCTCCGGGCGTCATAGGAAGGCTCCTCCAAACTTACTCTCTAAATCCAGAACATAGTCTAATGTGTTTGGGACTGTAATTTAAAAATAATCCTGTCTTCTGTTTTTTGTTTTTTTGTTTTTTTCCCCCAAGAATGACCAAAATATTCCAAAGTTCTACCATAAAGGGGGGTCTCTTTATAATGACTTTTATTCAGCAGTTTCAACATTGATTTTCAACTGTACGCTAATGTTGGTTTCTTTTGAGTCTGGCCATATTTTACTCTTTCTTGGGTGGAAAAACTCACTGGACTGTATACCCTTTAATTTCCCTAAGATTGGCTAATTTGAAGGTTGTCTTGCTTGGTATGATACCTTAGTTAGCTATCAGTGTGAGTATTCTTTATTCCAGTTTTCTGTTTCTGCACCTTGGCAGAATGTTTCTCTGGCTTCATTGTTTAATTACATATGTATGCCTTTCCTGCTGATGAGTTGACCATTGGTGAACTACTAGTTATCCTATTTACTTATTTCATTAGTAAAGGTGGTTTTTATTTGTTTTTTGCTTGTTTTGAGAGAGCAAGATCTTCCTTTTTGTGCCACTTTACTGGCTAGTCCTAGTTTTGATTGGGAGAGCTGTGGGTATGGAGTATATACCTGGACTTTGTTTTTTGTGTATAATTCCTGAATTACCTTTCTGAGTCTAGATTATTAGTGTCTTATTTAATGTTCTGGTATTAATATGTACTTTAGATAGATTTTTAAACTTATTTTCAGCTTGCCCTGGCTCATCTCTTAACTTGAGGAAGCTATAGTTCTCTGACACCCTCTCTACTCCTTTGCATAATCCACTGCCTTTCTGCTGTAGCTCCTTCTGGTTCCTTTGAGGATCTTACAGAGCCTCCCACCACGGTTAGATGGAACAGGGTCTAATGTTCTTCAAGCTGGTCCTTGCTTTCCACTAGGCTTCTACATTTCTCTAGTACTTGAAAAAGGTTGTCCTTGTCTCTTTTCCCACTGAATAATAAACATAATCTGGAAGGTTGAGGTCTTATTTTAAAGTGAAAAGCATTTTAAAAGTAAGTTTTATGATTTCATAGGGCTTTGTTTTTATTGGTGGTAACTTGATTGAAATAGGTTTAAAGTATAGGTGTCATAGTTATTAATAAGGTTCTTTCTCACCCTAGTCTTTATGGCATAACACTCCCTAAACAGTCCTTGGGCAGTCCCTCAGCTGCTTGGCTTTGACACCCCTTTCTGGAGAGAGTGGGGTCAATTAACTCTTATCCCTGCTCCAAAAAAGGTGAAAGTTAAAGTTAATTGACTTATGTCAATTGGAGCAATGTGATTGTTACACCAGGTATATTCAGTTCCTGCCCTTACCTATGTTTTCTTATCTTGGAAGGGGATTGCTTTCCCTCACCATTTATCTTACAGCAGCTTATTTGTTTTTAAAGTTGCCCAGAAAGTATACAAATTAAACTTTTGACATCTACGTGTAGGAATCCCGTTCTGCTTCCAGAAGTGGAAGTGCTCATGGATCTGGGAAATCTGCAAGGCATACCCCTGCAAGGTCTCGCTCCAAGGAAGATTCCAGGCGTTCCAGATCAAAGTCCAGGTCCAGATCTGAATCTAGGTAAGAAAGACTGTCTTGGGATTTCCTTCTGTTACTCTCTTAGCTTTGAAATTGGTTTGAGCTTTGTAAACTAGGAAGATAGAGAGGGTTAGATCATTTGTTGGCCTATATAATGCTAGGGCTAGAAACGAACGTAATTGAAAGTTTTGGGAGACTGAACACTTAAGTGGTTAAGAGCCTGGGCTTTTCAGTTAGGCTTTGAATCTTACCTCTGTTTTTTTCTGGCTTGGGCAGATTACTTAACCTTTTTCTACTTTAGCTTGCTTATCTATGAAGGCAAGTTAGTACTAGTACTAGTTCTTCAGAATTGTTGTGAGGATTCATTATGAGTTTAAGTAAACTGCTTATTAGTATGGCAAATACACTGCAGAACATGTCTTTCAGTAACTGCAATTTTTGATAAATAGGTGTAGTCTAGTATTTTATACATGTATGTATTTAAAAAATGATGATGCAGCTCACTAGTTTTAAAATGTCGGTCAAGAGTAGCCCATACATCCTGGTTTGCGCAGAATAGCCCTGGTTTATTATGCCTGTTGTCAGGCATAATTAACAGCATCTCTTTTCTTTTACAATGTGTCCTTACTGGTTTAGATGGCAAGTCATATGGTTGCTCTAGTGAAGAACAACACTGCTGGGGGAAAACTGCTGGTGATCTTTGTATTAAGTGAATAGTGCGGGCATAATGGGAGAAGCAGAAAAAAAAACGGGATGGTGTATTCTGAGGGGGAGGGGAGGCACAAATCAAAGAAGTATAAAATGTATGTTTTCTGATTTTCGAAAAATAATTGAAATTGTTTCGTTATTTTAAGAAATGTTGGAAGAAAGCTAGTTGTTTTGGAACTCTTCCTAGAACAGTTGAATTGACAGCAAAAAAAAAAAATGATTTCACTTGTTACCATGTTAGTATATGCCTGGATTGTGTTCTGTCCTCTGAAGTTTAACTCTAGAGTAGACTATATGGAAAGAATTCAAAGCCATATCTTGTCAGCTATTTTAGTCATGACCTTGAGGCCTTTGTTTTGCAGGTCTAGATCCAGAAGAAGTTCTCGAAGGCATTATACAAGGTCACGATCTCGGTCTCGTTCCCATAGACGATCCCGTAGCAGATCTTACAGTCGAGATTATCGAAGACGTCATAGCCACAGTCATTCTCCCATGTCTACTCGGAGGCGTCATGTCGGGAATCGGGTAAGATGAAAAATAACTTTGTTTTTGAAGCTATGGACTTCTAGAACCATCTTATTTAATAATAAAGTTTTCTCTGCATGGGGGGGTGAAGTTAGAACTGATTTTATTTGACAGTGGAGCATTGGCACTGAATAATATGTGGGTTACCTTTTGAGGCTTTTTAGTGTTTTGAGATAGTCTTTTTAAAAGGTATCTATCTCCCAGCTCAGGTAGCTCAGCTGGTTAGATAGAGCATTGTACAGATGTGCCAAGTTTGCAGGTTTGATCTCTGATCAGGGTACAGAGAAGAATCAACATATGGATGTATAAGTAAGTGGAACAACAAATGGATTCCTCTCTTAACAAAAATAATTTTTTACTCAAAGGATGTTTCCCATGTAATGGTCTACATTTGGACAATAGGTTACTTTATTTGTCTATAAGTTGTTTTTTATTTACTTTTAGATTTTAGAGAAGGGAAGGGAGGGAGAAAGAGAGCAAGAAACACCAGTGTGCTAGAAATATATCAATCGGTTTCCTCTTGTACTTCCACAACTGGGGACCTGTCCAGCAGTCCAGGGTTGTGGCCTGACTGGGAATTGAACCCGTGATCTCGGTTGACAGGCCAGCACTCAGTCCATTGAGCCACATCAGCCAAAACTTAGTTAACATTTAAGTGTAACAATTTCATATTGGTAACTTGCCAATGAAATGAAATTTTAAAAAGTCCCTTGTGCGTTACTATTATGAGTATATTAGATTGTTTTGTGTGTGTCTGTTCTGTAGTGATGTTACTCAGGTTTTCTGGGTTTAATACCTTTTATGTAATGCTTTTCTGACTTTCCCATATAATTGTAAGTAAATTTCTTTCAGGTGTTTAGGCTTTTTATTGTCCTCCATGAGAGGTTCTGAATGAGGTGGCATTTAGTGTGTTTATGTTGTGATTTCATTGTATGATCTAAATGGTTTTGTTAGGCCTGTGCTTGTTTTTGAGAGTGCAATGGAATTTATAGTAAATGAATGTGGAATAAAGAAAAGCTTGAGGTAAAATTATGGCAACTGGGATGTCAGCAAGATGTGGCTCGTTTTTCTTTATTAGGATAATCAAAGTGAGCTGCTTAAATGTTTGTTAAAACAGTTTAGTACACATCTTTGACTTCATTTGTTTGTATATATGAACAGCTTGTGTATGTAATGTTTCTAAAAATAGAATTGAGCATGCCTTGTGCCTTTGGCCATTTTAAGTATTCCATTGTATGGGCAGTATATCTTAAATCAGCATTTTAATAGTTTATCATTTATTTCTCTTGCTTGTAGAGATAATGCTATTCTGATTATTTGTGTACAAACTGAATGTGTGGATATTTCTTGGAATAAATTCCTAGAAAGTGAATCGCTTGCAAAGTGTTTTAATCTCTTTATTATCTAATGGGTTGGCCCAAAAGTTAGTTTGGTTGTTTTTTTTTGTTGTTGTATAATGGCTCAAGTAGCATTTAATTCTCTAACTTCATTCAAAACAATTTTGGTAGATTGCATTGTGACAGCTGCTGTATCAGTGTGCACTTTAAAAAAAAAGTTAAAAAATTGGTGAGTTTTTGTTCCTCTACTTTAATACTGAAGATGGAAGATGATAACGCAGTCTTTTCAATGTATTACACATTTTTACTTCAAGAAAGGTAGAAAAGTAAAAGAGAGTTTGTGAAGTGTATGGAGATGGTGTTGTGAATGATCAAAAGTGGTTTGTGGATTTGTACTTGTTGATATTTTGTCCAAATAATTCTTTGCTGTAGTGTAGGGCTGTTTTGTGCATTGGAAGATATTTAGCAGCACCCCTGGCCTCTCCCCACTAGAAGCCAGTAGTAGCAGGAGGTAGTTGACATACTCAAAATACCCAAATCAATAAAGTTATTGGTATAAGTGAAAAGAGTATCTTTCGTGGGAAAAACCATACGGGCTTTTTGGCGAACCCAATACTTTTATTGGTAGTGACGTTTTTTGGCTAATTTGTGTGGTTCCCTTTCTAGTAAAAGTTGAAGATCAAGCCCTGGCTGGCCCAGCTCAGTGGGTTGAGCGTGGGCTGCGAACCAGTGTTGTAGGTTTGGTTCCCAGTCAGGGCACATGCCTGGGTTGCAGGCCGTGGTCCCCAGCAACCGCACATTGATGTTTCTGTGTGTCTCTGTCTCTCTCTGTCTCTCTCTCCCTCTCTCTCCCTCTCTCTCCCCCCTCCCTCCCTCCCTCCCCCTCTCCCTCCCTCTCTCCCTCTCTCTCTCCCTCTCCCCCCTCCCTTCCCTCTCTAAAAAATAAATAAGTAAAATCTTTTTAAAAAGTTGAAAATCCATTTTTCTATTTCTAGGCAAATCCCGATCCCAACTGTTGCCTTGGCGTATTTGGATTGAGCTTGTACACTACAGAAAGAGATCTAAGAGAAGTATTCTCTAAATATGGCCCCATTGCTGATGTGTCTATTGTATATGACCAGCAGTCTAGACGTTCAAGAGGATTTGCCTTTGTTTATTTTGAAAATGTAGATGATGCCAAGGAAGTAAGTAAAAGCGTATATGTACCTTGTAAAATAGTGGTCGTGTTGTGAATGCTCAAGTACTAAATCAAGTACTTGGGTAAGAACGATTTTTGTTTTTATATTGTAAATAGGATGTGTAAGCTGTACATTGAATTAAAGTACATTTCTTTTGGGAATAGATTAGAGTACTGCTTTTAACTTTACTCCAGCTCAGTCCCACCACATTATTTTGAAGTAAATGTTGATGCATATGACTATTTCCAGATGTGTGTGGGGGGGTGTCTAAATATAGGTATCAAAAATACGAGAATGTTAATATCTTTAGAGTATTCGATCAGTGTTTATTTACATTGAGCAACTTTCTAAAATGAAGGACATTTAAAAACAATAGTTTCAACTGAGAAAAAAGTTCATATATGTTGACAAAGTGATTTCATATTTAGATGTTAATTGACTTAAGGAAGAATTAGGAAGTAAATTTTTTTTTACTATGTAGACTGAAAGTAAAAGTTTAATGCATGAGTCTGGGCCGAATTTTAAGTATTTCGGCTTTATATGCATACAGATTGATAGCTTATGTCATCTCCAAGGGATATATAAGGAAGAGGAAAGCTTAGGAAACAATGAAAAACCATCTGAGGTCAATGTTGAGGTTGGGGGTTCAGCTCTAGATAAAATTGTGTGGTTATTTATGAAAACTATACTAATTTTTTTAAAACCATTGAACTGAACTACTAAAGGAGGAATGGAAAACTAAATGCAAGTAATTACAATGGATGGCTGATATTCAAGAGATTTGAAGGAATGAATGATTTAGGACGGGTGTCCCGCTCCTTCCTCTACTTTAATACTGAAAATGTAATTTTCATTTATGAAATTTTCTTCCCAGTTGTTTCAAGTCTTAGCTCATGGATCATATAGTTTGCCAGATACACACTGCTTTAGAGCTAGAAGCATTATAAATTTGTTAGCATAATTCAAGTGTTTCGTGTTTTAAATTGGCCTTTGTACCTTTTTGGATAAACTCTTCTGAATTTTTAGGGCTAGCTTTTAAAAACTTAATAGGAGAAACAACTTAAAAGTTGAGACCATAATGTTCTACCAGTGTTAATTTAATGCATCTAACTGAAACATCCAGTCCAACTTTACTTAAAGCTATTGGGTAGTTTGTGACTTTGTCCAGGATGTATATAACAACTTAATGTACTTTTTGAAGGCAAAAGAGCGTGCCAATGGAATGGAGCTTGATGGACGTAGAATCAGAGTTGATTTCTCTATAACAAAAAGACCACATACCCCAACACCAGGAATTTACATGGGGAGACCTACCTAGTAAGTTTATTTTGAAGGTAAAAAATTTGATTGACTAGTCAGTGTGTTCACTTTCTCCAAGAAATACATGTACTGCAGGGAAATCTTGGCCATTTCATCTAATTTTGCCACAGTATAAAAATCCTTTTTTCTCTCTCTCTTTTGTTTCTCTTAACTGGCTCAAACTGTATTTGATGTTCAGAGGAAACATTCCATTTGTGCCACAAATTCTGATGAACACCATTACGTAGACCAAATCCCACTTTATCGTAGAAGAATATCAAATATTTGTCTTTGCTGGGTAATTAAATATTTCTGATTAGACCATTTTACCCATAAAATCAAGTTTGTATAACTCCTACTCAGATGCACTTTCTATTTTTTTTATTTCCATAAGCAGAATGGAAAACGGACTTCAGTTTTTACAATGAACTGATAATAAGATAGTTCTCTTTTGTTTTGTCGTCATTCTTATCAGTGTGTATGTTACAGCTTTAAATTGAATTCGTTGCTTAATTCAAATAGGCTAATAAGATAGTTCTCTTTTGTCTTCATTCTTATCAGTGTGTATGTTACAGCTTTCAATTGAATTCATTGCTTAATTTAAATAGAAGGCTCTTATAATTGTACCATACACACAGGATTGTACCATTAATTGTCCTGTTTCTAATAGGCTAAACGTTTTCCCACTCTTGAAATCATATTCTCATGTGCCTACATGGGTTTCCAACCTACAGCCCAACGCAAAATTGTAAATTTAGTTAACGAGATTTTTTTGTGGTTAGGTGTTGTAGTGTATTTAATGTGTGGCTCAGGGAAGCCGAAAGGTTGGATACCCCTGCTAGGGAAAATGTGGCATTGGCTAAAGTGGAAAAAGCAAGTTAATAAAATATATTTATGTACATTGTTAGAAGGGAAGAGAAGGGCCATTATTTATTCACTATCAGTGAGAATTCAATGGAAGTAATACTCATTTTTTTCAGTTAATTCATATGCAGGCCTATGAATTTTTTTGCCCAGGAGAAGAGAATAAACGTTACACTTGAAGCAGTTTTTCATTCATGTCCACAAAGCTTGTCTGTGTAGATCGTATTACCCTTAAGATCCAGCTGAACATGGCATGCCTCTGCTGCTGTTAAATATCTGAACAGTTTTTAACAGCCAAAGTCATATCTAGAAAGATAGGGAAGGCCATTTGATATTTGATGAAGATACATTGTTATTCACAGTGGCAGCTCACGCCGTCGTGATTACTATGACAGAGGATATGATCGAGGCTATGATGATCGGGACTACTATAGCAGATCATACAGGTAAGGTAACCATAACATCAGTTTTCAGTTGCCAAAAACTTGAAGGAAGCATCCGCTCTTCTGAATATCTGTTGCAACATAATTTAAAGCAGCACTATACTTTGTAGCTTTTCATAAAAGCATTACATTTTATATCAAGATACCAGAACTAGAGTTTAAACTAGATTTTAAGGTTTTGTGTCTTTTTAAACAACATGTGTATTTCAAGCATGACAATGGAAATGGAATTAGAGGCCATACTTCAATGTCCCTTCCCCTTTTTATAGCATAAAGTTGTATTTTAAAAGTTAATGTTTTATGAAGCAATTTTTTTGTATATGTCGTGTGTTATATACTAAAAGGCAGAAAAACTGATTCTCTGGAGAGTCCATGAAAATAATAATAATTCAGTCTTAAGATGGTAAGTTTGTTCGTTACTAAACTACTGACAAATTTTTAGGGGCTTATTAGGAAAATGTCTATCATGCTTGAAAAACAAAAGATCTTTTTTAGAATACTTTCAAAGATAAAAAATGAAGTACAAGTTTCCCTTATTTTAGCAACAGCAGGTAATTTAGACCTTGCCTTACTTGTCAAAATGTAAATTGTGTAGTAAGTGTTAACTGCAGTAGTAATCCATGGTACCTAATGTGATGTGGTGTTGGAGTGTGGATATCTTTTTGCATGCTATTTGGTAATGTTGTAAGAAGTTGATGGTTATTGATGTGTTTTATTACTCATTATCTATGGAAATGAGTCTTTAAGGGTCCTCTCAATGACATTCTCCAGCATTTTATTGCTAACAGCAAGTACTTTTGCATTAAATGGCACTTTAAGGGATTGATTTGTGGGAGCTGAGAAAGTTACAGTGGTAGGCTTGATTTTTATTTTAATTAACTTGAGCACTTACTTAGAAAAGTTCTTTGTTCTAATGATACTCATTTTAACCACCAGAGAGAGCTCTATGCCAATTTGTAGTTAGCATTTTACTTTTATAAGAAACTAGATTTCCTTTTTGCATGTTTTAGTTTTACTGCATGAATTGTGTTTTTTTTTTAAAAACTCATAAAGTAAATGCATTTCTGCCTTCACAGAGGAGGAGGTGGAGGAGGAGGAGGATGGAGAGCTGCTCAAGACAGGGATCAGATTTACAGGTATGTCCTGATTTAAAAACTGTATGGTACAAATGGCTCACATGAAGCCACTTTGGTACAGGTGTTTTGGTAGTTAAATTGTAAGTGGCACTGCACACAATTGGATTGCATGAAGTTTATAAAATACTGTATTGTAACTGAAGCCAAGTGATGTGTCCATTGCTTTGTGTGTTTACAGAAATTAATTGGGCTTTTATTCAGTGGCACCATTTTATATTTATTTAACGAGATAATGATGGTACAGATTAAGGTCATTGGCATAAACCCATATTTTTAGTCTTTATTCCTGATACCCATCCTCGTATACTACATTTTCTTTGTTGGCTTTTTATAAGCATCTTGGAATAAGCATGTGAGCACTTTAGTCAGTCTTTTACAAAATGGAATCACTTGGTTGCACTGGCATTTGTTTTTTGGGTGTGGTTCATGAGGTTTTGGTTACAACTAGTGGAAAGGCATTTTTTTCTTTAATATTTAACTGAATAGGATTTAAAATGGGTTAGCAGAGCATCTTGTAGAGAGAATATAGCAAGGAGTATTGACTTCTGATAGTTTTGAGTGATTGTTACTGGACCTGGTACTGTGCTTCATTCTCAGGACTGAAAAAGACCTTGAAGTCCCATGACTAACACAAAATTTTTGAAGGTCATTGATGGCCTTCTTGTTTCAGGCACTGATAAAGAGATTGTGTATCATCTTTGTATTTAATTTGTGATCTGTGGAGTCTTAGATGGTCTTGACATTTGTTTACAGAAGGCGGTCACCTTCTCCTTACTATAGTCGTGGAGGATACAGATCCCGTTCCAGATCTCGATCATACTCACCTCGTAAGTTTTTGTCTTGATATATTTTAGTTTGTATAATGTAATTGTGTGGCTTGCCCTAACTTATCAGGCCACAGCACAGTAACTGTTTCTTTTGCTGAGAAAGGATTAACATATAAGTAGTTCTGTGGGTGGGTGTGTCCCCAAACTAGGTTTGGGGTTCCACAAAGTCTGAAAACAGCCCCGTGGGATCTTGTTGCTAATTGAAATAGTAAATGTATATTCTGTCACCATTTGTAGCTTTTCTTTTTCTGAGGAGTGCTTGTAATTTTTGCACAGTTTGGAAACATCTGAGTGACTTGAAGCCTTAGCTTATATTGTTATACTTACCTATTGTTTCACATTGGTTTTCATTTCTAGTGTGACTCTTATGTGAAAGTCTTACTCTATTTTCTCAGAAGTGAATCTGGTACATAGGAATGACTGAATGGCAGAGCAGTCTAAAATTCTAAACATTAAATATACTTGATAATCAGTTTTCATTGTTGATACCTTTTCTTTCTTTTTCAAATCCCAGGTCGCTATTAAAGCATGAAGTGGAAGACTTTCTGACACCTGCCCTAGAGTTTGGATATTGTTTGTGGACAATATTTTTTATTGTCTCCTGTTTAAAAAGTGAACAGTGCCTAGTGAAGTTAGGTGACTTTTACACCTTTTATGATGACTACTTTTGGTGGAGTTGAAATGCTGTTCTCATTCTGCATTTGTGTAGTTCGGTGCTTTGTTCAAAGTTAAGTGTTTTCAGAAAAGTATGTTTTGCATGTATTTTTTTACAGTCTAAATTTTGACTGCTGAGAAGTTTCTATTGTATAAAACTTCATTTAAAAGGTTTTTCTACTGAATCCAGGGTATTCTGAAGATCGAAGCCTGTGTGTAAAATGCTACCAAATGGCAAAAAGCAACAATAAAGTTTGATTTTTACTTTTCTTTCTAACATATCAGTGCTTAGCAGAACTGTTCAGATTAGGTTGTCAGCAGTAAATTTGAAGACCAAAAATGCCCATTTTTCTTCAGTCCATAAAACATACCATACTTAATATACCTGCAAGTAAGTGTTAAAAATTATGCTCTGTAACTCAGTACTGCTAGTATTAGAACTAATGATCTTTCAATAACAGCAAATGCTTAATGCTTATATAAATGTGGATTTGTCAGCCTTTATATAATCTGTATTGTTTATAGCAGGGAGTAAGAAAAGAGTTACACAATGTATGACTTTAAAAGGCTATTTCTTAAAGCTGTTTTAAGGGGATAATGGTATTTCAACTGGTTATCAGTAAGTGACAATACATTCCACCACAAATGTACTCTCGTTCTAGCTTTTAGACTATATTAAAAAAAAACTGGGTGCTTCAGAGTTCAGGAAAAGAGAAGGGAACACTACTGTGTTGTGGATGAACTGAAGACTTGCCTGTTCATTTTTTAAATATTATTTTCAGATCCTTTGCTTAACAGAGGAGGCCCAATTTCACTCAAATGTTTTGAGAACTGTGTTAAATAAATGCAAATGAAAAGTAAAAGGCTGGTACAACTGAGTTTACAAAGAAGATTTTGTTTATTTTAACTTTGTTGCTTAAAATCAATACATAGTTTTTAAGTCCTTTGTGCAGTATCCCTTGGACTGAGGTGTATTTTTGGTGCTGGTTTTCAAAAACACCCCCAAGCATGAATTGTATATTTTTGGGAAATATGTTAAGAGCAAGTAACTTAGATGTTGGGGTGATTCATTTCATCTGGGAGGTATTAAATAACTCTAGTCTAGTCTTCATGCTTGTTTGGAATGCCTGAAATACATGTTTTCTGTATGGTGGGGGGTTTTTTTGTTTGTTTTTCCTTTTCTCTCCCCCTCCCCCCACCCCCCCCTTCTGAATTTCAGTTACTTGCATGGCCTGTTTGAAGGAATTTGCTATATATAGGGTAACTTTGTTGGCCTGCACCTTTTACAGTACGGGCATATCTCAGAGGCACTGCAGGTTTGGTTCTAGACCATCACGATGAAGTTACGTGAGTTTTTTAATTCCCCAGTGCATAGAAAAGTGGTGTTCATACTGTATTTTTACGAAGTACAGTAGCATTGTCCTTATAAACAGTGTACATAATTTAATTTAAAAATATTGCTTTAAAAAGGCTAACCATCTGAAACTTGCCATATTTACCTTTTGATGGTGGTTGGTCTTGCCTTGATATTGGTGAAAATTCAGTGCCTGCAAAACGCAATAAATGGTTATGCCAGTACTTACATATTTACTGTGTCCAAGGTACTTTATAAAGTACTTTCTGATATGTGTTCATTTAGTTTGTAGCAATCGTAATGTATTTTACCTTGAGTCAAATAGCAATTAAAAGGTGCACTGTTGTGATCAGGACCTGGGCATCCAGTTAGCACTGATAATTATGATGCCATTCTGCCTCTAATTAGGGTAACTGGATGACTAAAAACATTAATGGAAAATAGACAATATCTGCAGGCATTAATTTGTTAGACTTGACTGGGCCGAGTGTCTCACATGTATACCTCTTGTACTTTTGGTAGCTGTTATATACACATTCAGTCCCACCCCTGCATGTTTGTATTTCTATTAAGCATCCGGAACTAAGTAAATCTGTTCCTGGTAGATTTTTAAAATGTAATCATAACTAGTTTGGAAATAAGAATTGGCCCCTTGTGTGGTTATGCACTTTGAATTGTAGAATGTGGTCCAGAAGAGGTTGGGTTATAAGGGATAGGTTAAAGGTTGAGAAAGCCTAGTTTTGTGATAAAAGTATATGCAAAGGGGTGTAGTGCTGCTTACAGGTGTCTTGCTAGGTGGCAGAATGGGTAAGCTAGAAGCACCAAAGCAGTAGGACTTGGTCAGTGGGCATCTGATCTGGCACAGGTCTCCATGAGCTGCCCTATTTTTTATCAGTGGGGTGAGACTCCTTTCTGGTGTAGGAAGGCAGATAAGTATTTCTTCTGGTAATCATCTGGTTCCATATCAGCTTTGTGATCCTTTGGTTTAACTACTAACATAGATGATTTTAAACAGACAAAATGTCATGGCCATGGGTTAAATGATAATAGATAATTTAGGGATAGGATAAATTAGTCTTGGTATACTTGCCTAAATTCAAAGGAACCCAGGATTTTTCTATGCCAATATTATCAATATATTGTTTTGTAGCTGCAGGGCTAAGATGACTGAAACCAAATACATTGAAGTGATTTGGAAAATTACTGAGTCAAAATAGTTAAATACTGTAATACCATATATGGTCTTGTGAACGCACGTTATTTAGGGAACAAGCTAGGGTCCCGACGGTTGGCATAGTTTTTGGAGACCTTGGAGAACCCCAAGCCCTCTGAAATGTTCATAACTTGTTACTTTGCATGGGGAAAGTATGCCTCAAGATAATTCTCAACCCTCATTCTCATTAGTATTTGAACTTAACAATGCTGTGGGGGGGGGGGGGCATCAAATTCTGATTTAGACTCCAAAAAGTTTCCACCAAGAATAAACAGGATTTTAGCAAATTTTATAGGAATGGATTTTGAGGATGAAAAGAACTGGATTTATCTACGAGTGAATATACCAGCAGTTTTGCTTTGGTCAACACACTATGGTTTTACTAGAGTGTATATACCCTAAAATCTAGCACTCATGAACATAGACCTAGCACAATAGAGAATTCATGGACAGCCCTTTGGAAAAGGGACCAGAAATCATAAAATAAACGACCTGTGTATATGGTGAACCTTACTGGTTTTGCTAAGACATTTCCAAAACCTACTCATGTAACTATTGCAGGAAAATACTCAGACTTGTGGAAATAGTGGACACTGATTTGCAGTTCAACTCGATGTGAATCAAGAACATCACTGACCAAAACTCTGGGTGAGTGCTTAGGGTAACTGGGTAATAGGATTTTCTGAGCCTGGTTTACAGTTGAGACTCTAACCACTAAGCCAGCTTGAGTGCCTAATATTAAAGACACTCAGGTGAGCCTAATGGGTAACATCTTCCCAGTTATAACTAAGCACTATGTATCTTTCTTTGGTCTAAAACAGAACAAGTTCATGGACATCTAGACAGTGTATGTTCTCTCTGTATAGGTGCTGGCTTCGCAGCAGTGAGGATGGGAATGTTGGTAATGTCATTTGGATGTCCATTCACTTAGGCTAAATATTTATTCTCACCCCTGAGGACCTTAACTTGCCAGTAGTAATGACCAGCTCCAATGTGAAAAAATAGTTAAGGGGAATATAACTGCAATAGGTAGTAACATTGAGCTTCCACTGTGAAGTGGGTAGTAGTTCCTATTACAAATAAAGGATGGGGCAAACGTTAGGTTTAACAAAGTTATCTTTTTGTAGTTCTACATGCATATACTTCAGCTTCTTGGTATTCATATCATAAAGATGCCCTTAAAATATATTAAGTAACAGTGTTCCTGTTAACTTCTAGTCTCCATAAATCCTAAAATGGACTTAAGTTGTAGACTATGAACACTTTTAAGGCTCAGAAATAACCAATATGTGTCACTTTCCAGGAGTCGACTAATTTATCCTCCCCAGTAAAATGTTTTCAAATTTGATAGGGAAAGCACTTGGCTCAAATATTTGAAAATCTGGGTTATCCAGTACTTAATATCTTTGCTTGTACCTTTGAGTTTAATTTTTTCAGAGCATCCCAAGACACAGCACAATGGTCTTCCATTATCCATTCCGTTCACTGCTGCTTGCTAAACTCCCCACTTACAAGATGTGATGATGGGACTGTACCATAGATTTTGACATTCCATAGGAAAACTAAATTAGAAGTTTACCTAGATAGATCTCTAAGCAGTTGACAGATGCCATCTGTCTTTAACTATTCAGTTTTAACTTTATATATTCACCACTTAAGAGTTGTGTTAATGCTGTTTCTAAGTCTGGGGTTATAGCAATGGGCAGAAGGTACTATGGGGAAATGTAAGGCAGAAAAGGATAGTATTATAAATTGTTCAGGTAAGGCTGTATTTAATAGGACATTTGAAAAGAAACTGAAGGGTGAGTGAGCCATATGTATATTGGGAAGGAATATTGCATACAGGAGTAGGAATTTACTTGCTCAAATCTTAAGGTACATCAATGATTAAAAAGGTGTTGGGTCTAAGATGACCTAGGTAATGGGGCCACATCAGTTATGATTTTATTTTTGCATTTACTCATCAAATGGGGAACCATTGGTAGCGTTAAGGGAAAGTGACAATTACGTAAAAGGCTCAGGTATGAGTACCAAACTAATAAATAAATGAGTTCTCAAATCTAGTAATGACAGTAACGTATACAGGTAATTTAATTCTAGTATGGAAGATAGAGGAGTGGGTTCTTGGGTGAGATGACAATGTTGCTAGGTTTATGATCATGTCTATAAAACAGGATTTTAAAAAGGGTAATGCATACAGTCTAAATGGTCACTTCTCAGAATTTAGTACAGATGGATAATAAGACATTCACATCTGGAACATTCCTTGTTCCCATTGTTTGAGCTTTCTTATATTGGGTTGGCCAAAATGTCCATCTAGTTTCTGTAAGAAAACACATTTTTCATTTTCACTGATAACTTGGTTTGGGTACTTCGAGTATGTCAGCCATCTCCCATGTGATGTTCTCTGTGACTTGAGTTTATCACTATCAATGTCATCTGGTCTACCTGACTTGGAGCATCATCCAGTGAGAAATTTCCAGCATGAAATTTTGCAAAACAGCTTTTTAACCCTCACCCTAACCATCTCCATACACTACATAAATCTTAAATGTTTCCGTTTTTACCTTTCCTGAACTAATAAAACGGTATGCTGAAAAGGCGTTTTCTTCCATCTTCAAAAAAAAGTGGTTATGCAGAAATGCATCGATTTTTTTTAAAAAATGCAGATTGGTACAACAGCTGTCAGAAAAGTTTTGAATGAAGTTAGACAACTAAGTGCTACTTAGAGCCATCTTAACGAAAAACCTAACAAACTTTGGCCAACTCAATACTTGCCAACTTTCATTACCTTTGTGGGGCTCCTTACAATACTTTCAAAGTGTATCACCAGCTATTGCATGATGGACCATAAAAACTCAGAAGCATACAGTAAGTATTTAGCTGTTCATCTCAGCCAGGCTCTTAGCTGCAAGACGAGGGGTTGCTTCATCTACATCAGGTTGGATTAAAATCATTGCAGGTGTCAGTCGCTTCCACAAGTCTTGGTCTCGAAGTTGGTAAACTGGTGGTACATTCCTCAATTGTGTGCAGAAGCTTGAGACCAAGTTCGATCACGTTGCAATCCTCTCAACATCTGTTAGGTTCCAGTAGGCAAACTGCTGCCAAGGACAAGGTCAGGATGAGTAAATGGACTGCTTTCACTTAGGGAGAATGCAAAGGGCATAAAGTGAAGTCGGTGATTAAGCCTACTGTGGACCAAGTTTCCCATTCTTGTGCTGGAGGTGCCTTCCCCTTCTGAGCATGCAGACATGCCTTTGTTTGGGATAATTTTCCAAACAATTGAATCTTGCAAG